TGATGACGATGAAGTTTGATAATAATATAATTCTGCAGAATGTGTAAATCTTTCTGATAAAAGTTCATCTTCATTTTCTGTATTTTGACTATCATAATATGATGATGGTAAATTGAAATTATCTTCTATTGATGATTGTCGTATAGGTATTGGTAATGATGGTAATTGCCGAGAATTATTACTTGTATGTGGTCGAGGTTGAGCTGTATTTACTAATTGTATAGAATTATTAACAGGTGTTCTTTGATTTGATGATAATATGAGTCTGTAAAATGAAAAAAATTATAGTAATTTTTTAAATAAGTAAAAATAATCAACCTTGGTGCATTTGACCAATTATCATTTCCACCAAAACCATCATCAGTTGATGTATGAGAATCAAGTGAACCATGACGACTTGTATCATTTCCACTACTACCTAATAATGGTTGATGTTGTTCAGGTGATTGATCAGGACCTCCTAAAATAGATAAATAATAATTATAAATCAATGTATATTTTTATTCTTTATACGTGTTGATGTAAAAAATAAAGCTGTTCGTGGTCGATTATTTGTATGTTTTCTTGGTGGTATTCTTTGTGCCGCTATTTCACTAATCATTTGATGATGATCATCATATGGTGTATTTGGTTGCTGTCTTTGTTTACTTGAAATAACTGATACCATTCGACCATTTAATGGTAAATGACGTTCATTAGATACCGTCATTGTATGTGGTCGATGTTGATCATTATCTGTAGTAACAAGTAATAATGGACGTGTTTCAGTTGGTGATAAAGCAACTGATGTTGAAGGATTTTTAACGCAAATTATTGATGATTTTGGTGTTGACATAATAGCTGGTCGAGGTGGATTCAGTGGTGCTGGTGGTGTAACAAGAGGTAGAACATGAAGAACACTTGTTGGTTCTGGAACATTTAATGTTTTTCCATATTGTTGTTGTTGTTGTTGTTGATTTAAAAAACTATCAGTAACTGGTGGTGCTGTTCGTTTTGTTTCATCAAGATTTATTAAATTAACATGTCCATTTTCTATATTAATACTTGGTCGACGACTTGTCGATACTTTATTTTTACCCATAAACAAATTTTCAAAATTCTAAAAATAAAATAAAACATCTCCTCTTTTTCTTTTATAGCTTTGTCGGTTAAGTTCTCAATGGTTATTTTTAACTATTTATAATTAGGGCTCATAGTAATCAGGAAACATAACCATATAAAAGATTTAATTTCTATGAATTTCGAACAAAAAAGAAGAACTGAAATCAATTATTTACCGATGATCGATTTGATCCTGATCGACGAAAACTTCCCGATCGACGAAATGCTGAT